CTTTCTTCCTCCTTCTCTCCCCCTCTCACTCTTGCCCTTTCTCCTCTCTAACTCTTTTATCTCTCTTCTGGTGGGCACACTTTGCCCTTCCAATTTCTATTTTCCTACCTTACGTGGGCCTTGAGATTAAATATATATAATATACCATATACTCAGGACAAGGTACCCTTACCTTCAGGCAGACAACTTAAGAATCCCACATGTCTCTAATCACCCACCTACACCAAACATACTTGTAAATACACTCGTTCATACGGCCTTTTCCCTCTCACCCAGTAATCACAGCATCCACATTTTCATAGCTGTTGCTGGCCTCGGGTGGACACGCCGGCGCTATTTCCACCCTGTCAAAAACCACGTCCTCCTCGAGTTCGATAAGGCCGATGTCGTTGTCGCGGGACGTCCCTTCTTCGTAGTTCTCGTGCGGCCACAGGCGCTTCACCTTCACCGTCCGAGTTATGCTTGTTTCGGAGGTCGTGCTGCGGTCGTGGTCCCCCAGCACCACCTCCGGTAACGAACCGGTTGGTAACTCCGGCCTGGCGATGAGGAGAGAAGGAGCACTTTCGCAATTTTTTTCTCTGGCTTTCGTTTTTTTTAAGATTACGTCATATATACTTGTTTGATCTTGCCTTCAATCTTCGTTTTTTATTTTTTTCACTCCTGTTATGTTTGAGAGATTCGTTTAATTGTTACGTCAGTATCTGTCTATTTTATACCCGTAAACTGATTTTATGTTTAGTGTTACTAAACTTTTATTGCGTCGATCTAGTATTTACTCTAAACTGTAAAAAGCCAAGCAAATTATCAGTCTCAAGCACACAGGTGTCCCTCAAAGCGAGACGAATTCACGCCCAGAGCTCCCACCGGCCCTGTGGCAGCCTCCGACGCTGGCACTCACGGGAGAAGGCAGTGAGCGACGGTGAGGATGAAGCGCTCGTTGATGAGGACGCCGCCGCAGAAGCTGTCGTCGTTGGGCAAGATGACAAGCGCCTGCCAAGGAAACTCGTGCAGTGAGGCATCCTCACCCCCCACCACGCGAGCCCCCGAGCCCCGGCGTCCACAACCTGAAGGAGGAGAGAAGAGGAAGGTTTCTTCTTTCTTCGGAGATCAAGAGGGATGTGATTGAGCAACTGGGCGAGAAGAAAGGGGAATTTGACGAGGAAAATGATACAAAAGGAGGAGGACACGTAAGAGTGGTAACAAAGAAGCTGTCATCAATTGAGTAGATGATGCGACAGAAGGATCAGCCTATGGAAAACCCCGCCCTGAACATGATGCAAATATCGTTCAAATCAAGGCCAACAATATGGATATTATACCAGCAAGTTCCTTGCCCCTTTTCGGCGGCACAATATTCAATAACAATCATCCCATATCCTCCTGCTCGCGAAAACAGAACCAAATACTCACGACATGTAGTAGTAGACGGAGTGGTAATTACTCCTGGCGGCAAGGTAGGAGAAATCGACGAGAGAAGTGAGACGGTGCAGTAGAAGCCCGTGTAGGTTCCTCCCCCGCCCGAGCCGCTCCAGAAGAGCACGCTGAGGAAGGAACTCGCCGAGGTAACCTGCTGAGGGGCAGCGTTACCCCCGCAGAACCTTGAGGGGTAAAAGGGAAACCTCTTATAGTCGTGTATACTGGTATTATTGTACTTTGATTATGACACGCCGTCGCTACTGTTACTATTTCGGTTTACATCATCTACATTAGCACCGTCTCATCATCGCTGGGTCCTGGGTTTACACCTGGTCGCCCCTCTCAGTCGACTCAGCTGTGAATGAGCACTGGTATGCTGACGTCAGCATGCTGGGGTCAAAATCGGGATGGAAAGGAACTAGCCATCCTATCGCATCATCCCCGTGGCATAGTAAGCATGTTCCTCTACAAACATGTTCCCTTCGTCCACATGGCTATGGGACCAACTTTTTTTACGTTAGCACACCGTCATGAACGTCATCACCCTTAGTAATTAGTACGATGACCAGTCCCATCTCATCATCTTAGTCGTTGTCACCATAACCTTAGCACAAACCACACACATTAAATTTCAACTTCAAGTGAATATTAAGCCTATTTACCTCCGCGTATTTTGAAGGCCGTCGTCAACGGAAAAATACGCGCCTGTGCCACATTGTACGCTCGGCTGCAGGTCAAACACTTGGCAGCTGAGGGTCAGGCTGTTCCCGGTTGTACTCTGGAAATACCTTAGTTTGTTATAATAACTTGATTGTTGTTGTAATTTTTATCTGTATTTTTTATGTTGTTATTTATTAGCTGTGGTTATAGTTATTTCTGTTAATATTATAATCAATTTTAATTCTATCATCGTATTCAATATCACTTCAGTACAATTATCGGTTATAGTTATTGCTGTTATTATTGCAACCATTTTCAGTTACATCATCACATTCGAAATCATGTCAGTACCATGATCATAAATATTGTATTTATCACTACAATTATATTTACAGCTATCAATATCATTTACCATCAATATCAT